CAAGTGCGAGGATTGTGACTCTGCCATTGCAGCGCTTCAGCCCCTCTCCCCTCCCTCCCGCGCGCACACACGCATACACACACACACGCACGTACGAGCACGCGCACGCACACCCACACGCCCGCGCGCGCACGCGCAGGGTTCTGCACTGGAGTCGGTCTGCGCTCACCGCGGAGCGCCAGTTCCATCGAGCCGGGCAGACACGGACAAACCAACATATTTAATATTAAAAATGAATACTTCTGCCTCCGTCCCTCCCTCCCCCTCACAGACACACACGCAGACACCCCCTCCCTCCCCCCCCCACCCCACCCCCCCCCCCCACCACCCCAGGCCCCCCTCAGCACACTGATGTAACCCTCACTTTGTGACCGCTCGCGTGACATAATCCATCTGCGAGACAGCAAAAGTCTCACGCGCCAGTCATGCAGATGGATATTAAGATATTAATCTCCTTGTAGATCTTCAGAGGGAGAGAGAGAGTTTGGGGTCTGATCTTTTTTTTGAAAGAAAGATAAGGAAAACACGAGGGGGAAGTCGGTCTCTTTTTTTGGAGGGGGGGACGGACGGAAGCGATACTGCAACGGCAGACAGCCGGGGAAGTCGCGAAACCTTTTATATATATCTATATATTTTTTTTTTTTTGGTGTGAACAGGGATAAAGTTGGCCCTTTTGATGTCACAATGAATTAAAGGCGGGAGGGGTGGGGGTGGGGGGTGGGAGGTCGGTGAGTTAAAGGAGTCAGGCGCGAGCTGGTATCTGAGACAGAGGAGGTAGAGAGGGTGGGGGGGGTCGTTGGTGGGGGAATGGCATCGCCATTCAGTCGAAATACTTTTTATTTAAGGTTGTAAAAAAGGTGGCGGGGTGGGGGGGGGTGGCAGGTGAGTGACCGCTTCAGCTACAAACTCCTCAGGAGGCTCTCTTCGTCCGTGCCTTCGGTCCACCCTCCTAACCCCCCACCCACCCACCCGACTACCCTCCCCGCCCTCGCCCACCCCCCCGCCCCCCCCTCCTTCCTGATCCCAACCCCAGCGCCTTGGGACAGTTCCGACGTGAAAGGCGCTGCATGTGGCGTCGTCGTCGTCGTCGTCGTCGTTGTTGTTCGAGCCCCCCAGCGTCACATCGACCGTACGTCAGCCAGTTGCGTCTCTCTCTCTCTCTCTCTCTCTCGTGCGCTCTCTCTCTCTCTCTCTCCTCTCTCTCTCTCGATATATAGTCTCTCCCCCAAAATACGCAGTCAATTCACTTCAGCCTATTGTCCCGCGAAGCGCTTTGAGACGTCTCGAAGACGTGATAAGGACGCCGTGTCAACGGCAAGGTTTATTATGAGTCTATATTATTGTTGTTGTTGTTGTTGTTGTTGTTGTACGTGTTTGAGGCACTGTCCCCCTCCTTTGACAGGACAAACCAAATCGCCCGTATTGATGGTGCCTTTTGACGACGGTGGCTTTCGACTAACGAGAGTGTGATCCGAGCTTGATGTGCAAGTTGGAGGCTTTCCTTTAAGAGTGTAAGTGCGCCCTACGCGCCCACACGCACGCGCATCACACGCGTGCACGCACGCACGCACACGCACGCACCATACACACGCACACAACCTCCTCCGATTTCTTCCCTTGTCTTTGAGCGCCCTCTACAGGCACATCCACAAAACCTTCTCCATCTCCTTACCCCCCCCCACCCCACCTCCGCCCCTCCGCCACTCTTTACCCCCCGGTTGTCAGCTTTTTTGGGGGTAATTCTGTCATCTCCCTGTTTCTAAGTCGTCGTCCTCCAATATAATCTGCAGGACTGTTGTGGAGAACCTGAATCTGTTGTAATAATAATAATAATAATCCTTGCATTTGATATAGCGCTTTTCACGTCGGGAGGACGTCCCAAAGCGCTTCACAGAATATACTGTAAAGTGAACTGACTGTATATTTGTGGGCGAACGCGGCAGCCAATTGCGCGCAGCAATGTCCCACAAACAGTCGTGGATTGAAAATGACCAATTTATTATTGTTTTTGGTTTTGGAGGGATTATTATTAGGCTCTGTGTGGAGTAAGGAAACTTGCCCGAGGTTTCGCCCTCTGCCTGGGATTGAACTCAGGTCTCTCACTTGCAAAGCGAGTGCTCTAACCGCTGAGCTACAGGACTCCTACACGTTGTAGGAAAACCTCCGCGACTATCTCGTCGTTAAAACACCGCACTTAATTAAAACATAATAGAAAGTTTGGCTCTGCCCTGCCGGGTCCTGCCCGGCCCGGGAATCGAACCCGGGTCCTCTCGCTTGCGAGGCGAACGCTCTTGACCCCCCCCCCCCCCACCCGGCAGGACACTGTACACCATGTCTCCCCGTTATGTCTTCCCGCTTTGCGTTCAGGGACCGAGATGGGACGCAAGAAGTCCCCAGTGCCTGAGGTGAACAAGTGCAACCCTCTGGAAAAAGAGCTCCAATGTGAACCCCATCCCAACGCCGGAGCGCTACAGGAACACCTCTACTATGGCGAATACGATCCATTCAGAAACACGGCAATCTTTGAGAGCGACTTTGTACAGGTGACTGCTAACAATAATCGCTATTAATAATCATTCTCGCCCTCGATGCAGCGCCTCGTCACGTCCTCGAGGCGTCGCGAGGCTCTTCGCAAGAGCGCGCGACCGAAGTGAGTCGGCCGTGTGTTTTCGTCGAACGGGGCTCTCACTGGTTGATTCCCCCGTGTGCCGCAGGTTACAAGTAAGGGAGAGGTTCTGAATATCCACAACCAAGTGACTGTAGTGACTGTGGGTGTCACGTCCACCAGCCCCAACTACACGCTGCCCAATGTCATGCTGCTGGCTCGACCCCTGAACATGGCCAGCAACGAGATATGTACCTGCAAGCCCAAGGATAAGTGTTCCATGGAACTGACGAGGTAACCAAGAGCACCCCCCCCTCCACCCCCCCCCACCCACCTCGCTGCCGTCATCTGACACGTATAATAATATTAATCATAATGATAATAATAACCCTCGCGTTCGATGGCCTTATCGCGTCTTCGAGACGTCTCAAAGCGCTTCACGGGATACACCGCCAAGCGTAGCGACTGTGTATTTTCCGGGCGAAACGAGCACGGCGGTGTCCCGCGCACGGCCGTGGATCGAGTGACCCCCCCCCCCATCTCTCTCTCTTTTCTGGGGGTCTCTTTTCCGAGGGTGATAATAATCCCTTTGTAAAAAAAAAAGTTGGGGGGTTGGGGGGAGGAGGGGACCGAAAGCGCGGTGGGAAGAGGAAAGTCTTCCGCTGTGATTTGAAGTTAATTCCTTCAAAAAAAAGATAATAATAATAATGATAATAAATCGGTCGCTTCAATCCACGGCTGTTTGTGGAGCCGCCGCCGGGCGCGATCGTCTGCCGCGTTTCGCCCGCAACACACGCAGTCCCTGCCCTCGACGAGCCGTACGTATCCTGTGAAGCGCTTCCAGACGTCTCGAAGACGTGATGAGGCACTGCGTCAAATGCCAGGATTATTATTATTATTATTGTTATTGATATCATTATCATTCACGCTTGTGCGTGCTCCGTCCTGCCCTACAGGCTCTTCCCTCTCAGCTTTGTGAGGATCTCGATCCATGATGTCTACCACCGTCGGCTGCGGCTGAAGTTGGCCAATGGCCGCTCCTTCTACCTGCAGCTGTACGTGCACCCCGACTGCGAGAACCAGATATTTGAGCGCTGGATAAAGCTGGTGGGGCTGTTGCACGATTCCCCCGACGAGGTGTACGGCTACGACGACGTCTCACCCGAAATTGAGGACATCCTCGACGACGTCAGCCAAGCCACCCTCTCGGAGCTCTCCGACTGGCAGCTTGAACCTCCTGAGATGTCGCCAGTGAGTGATGGGGAGGGGTGGGGGGGGGGGGGGGTGGGAGAGAGCGAGGGAGGGAGGAGAGGAGAGGGAGGGAGAGGGAGGGAGAAGAGAAAGAACTTGTATTTTATATCAACCTCGTGCTCCAGACGTCGAGATGGCTCAAAGCACTTGGCAGGATTTTACCTTGAAGTGTAGTGACTGTGTATCCCTTGCAAGCCTGTGAAATGGGATTCCCCCCCCCCCCGGGCCCCCCGCCCCTCCCGTCCCACCTCTACCTTTTCTCTTCCAGGGCATGAAGGAATATTACGAGGAGAGTCATAGAGATTTACTCAGCAAAAAGGGGAAGAAAGGCAAGGACAAGTCCAAGGGCGGTAAGAAAAAATCCGCCCCCAAGGCGGGCGCGAGTAAACCAGGCAGCAGGAGCAGGGCAGGTCCGAGCAAACAGTCGTTGAGCGGCAAAGGAGCGGGTAGCAAGAGAAGCAAGAGCCCCCGTCAATCGCCGAGCAGGCACACAGCGAGCGACACGGCGGACCCCAGCCGGAGCCATTTGAGGGGTCGGAGGGCGTCTACCGGGAGGGTAGACACAGCTGCGTCCAGAGACTTTGCCTTGCGACCGGACTCGGCTGGGCGAGGGGACTCATCCTACTCTGCCAGTCCCAACACCCACGCCAGCCCGTCGGGTAGCTGGTTGGAGCGTATGGACAGGTAGGTCAGTGGCGTTCGGCTAGAGCTGGGGCCGTTTATTGTCCCCCCACCCACCCACCCACCCCTCCTCGTTGCCAAGCTCCTTTGTTTTACAACAAAGCAATAACAATCCTTCCTTATGATCTACAACCAGATGTCTCGAAGGCGTGATGAGGCGGCAGGGGGTGGAGGGGGGACTGTGGGATGGAGTTCCAGAGGGTGGGGTTGGGGTGCAGAGAGGCTGAAGGCCCACCCGCCAACGGTGGGGCGGGATGGGCCGGGCGGGTGGACGTGGAAGTAGGCTGGAGCCCGCTGGGCGGAGGGAGCGGAAAGGTTGGTGGGGTGTTAGCAGGTCACAGAGGAAGGGAGGAGCAAAGCCGTGGAGGGCTTTGAAGGTGAGGACACACGAGGAACAACTTGGTTGTAGGATTGGGTCTTAGACTGAAGGATAACCCTATCCCTGAATGTGGTTCCATCAACAGCCGGAGTGTGCTACAACTGGATACTGGAAAGGACAAAGAGAAAGGTACGGCAACTAATAGTCCCAGTAACTCAGTGGTTAGAGCCCTCGACTCACAAGCGAGAGACCTGGGTTCGATTCCCGGAGAGGGCAAAACTTACTTCACACACCTCCGTGTACCTAACAGTAAGTAGGAACTCGGTTGTTAAGACGATTGGGGGTAATAATGCCTTAAATAATAACAATTTGGTCTCCAAAGCGCTTCAAATCAACCTTGAGACGTCTCAACGGGGTTGATTTGCACCGGAGCTGGGGGGTTGGGATCAGGAGGGGTGGGGGGGCAGGGATGGTAGGGGGTAGGAGGGTGACTGAAGGCGGGGGTCGAAGAGAATGGGTCTTGCAATGGGCCTGAAGGGAGGGGGGCACACGGTGAAGGGATTCGGGGTTGGAGTTCCAGAGGGGAAATCCCAATCAATGGGGTGTATTTATCGCTCCCCATTTATAAGCTCCGTTTTCCGTACCGTGTGGTGGACCTACAAAGGCCCAAATGGGCGTTGGGAGTTATTTTTATTTGTGTTTCCGACAAAGGAGATAAAAAGTCCGACACGAGAGCTAAAGAGAAAGCGGGAAAGCGGGAGAAGGAAGCAAAAAAGGAAGTGAAAGATGAAAAGACAAAGAGTAAGGTAAATATGGCCTCCGGTCCGGCCCTCGGCCCCTCCATCGGTGGCCGGGCTTTCAGTCACTACTCCCCGAAGCTTTGGAACTCTCTCCCAATCCCTCCCTCCCTCCCAATCCCTCCCTTCAAATCCCGCCTATCGACCTCTTATGATGATCGGGCTTACAGTCAACTCCCCCCTCGCTCTCTAAGTGCAAGTTGTTGTTGTTTAAGGATGAACTACGCCACAACAAAGAGAAGCAAGAGAGAGAAAAGAGCGCGGACAGAATCAAGTCGCAGAGAGAGGACGAGAAGAAGAAGCAGAAGGAAAAGAAGGAAAAGGAGGATAAGAAGAAGAAGGAGACGGAGGCCAAGAAGAAGGAGAAAGAGAAGAAGCAAAAGGAGAAAGAGAAGAAGGACAGAGAGAAGCAAAAGGACAAAGAGAAGCAAAAGGACAAAGTCGGCAAAAAGGCGAGACCCACTTATAAAGAGAGGAAGGCGGCGAAACAGGAGTTGGACAGATTGAAAAAGGAGAAAATGGAGAAAGAGAAGGGCAAGAAAAAGGATAAGAAGGCGAGCAACGCCGCTGCGGCAACGAACGAGAAGATAGACGGGAAAGACATGGATGAGGCTGTACAAGAGCTGAGGTATAAGGTGGAGAAGATATTGGAAGACGAACAGGCTTAATGAACTAAAGGGCCGAGGGCACGGGCAGAAGGGAACGCCAAGAGGCGTTCCTGTGTAGGAAAGGGGTCTAAGGTATCCGACGACAACTGGGAATAAAGATGTTTTTTTGACACAAGGTTGGAAAGCCAAAAAAAATGCTCCAAAGCTCCCTCATGTTTTCCGATTGTCGTTAAAACCTTCTAAGTTCACCTCGTGGCTTCCTTCTCTGGCGTTTGCGGGTTTAACACACATTGCCGGTCGGTGTGGGTAAGCACCTCCGGTTTCCCTCCCTCTCTCCATCCCCCCCCCCTTCCCTCCCCCTTTCATTTATTTACTTTGCTCAACTTTCTTACGACGGACACTTCCTGCGGGGTTGGAGCAATTCAGAAACTCTTGGATTAAACAGATATCTTTGAAATCTATTATTTTTGATTGTGGAACGTCTTTTTTTTGAAAAAATAGGAGAGAGAAATGGCAAATATTCGGTGACAGATCGAAAGGTTCTCACGGCCTCTGCTCGGGATTCACAGAAGCTGTTTGACATTCAGGCACATAAGAACGTAAGAATTAGGTGCAGGAGGAGGCCATTCGGCCCCTCTAGCCCGCCCCGCCATTCAATAAGATCATGGCTCTGGTCTATTCTAAGTCCACCTCCCGCCTTATCCCCATATCCCTTAATCCCTTTATCTACAAGAAATCTTGGGAGAAATTCTATCAGGGTCAACATTGGCTCTATTTTCTTAACATATCAGAAACGTCCAAATTATTGAACTCAGTGTAACTTTGAAGCCAGTTTTCTTTCTAAAAGCCCTGCGACCCGAGACTCGAACCTGCAACCTTTTGCCCAATGTTGAGGGGGCGTTTACTCATGGAGCCCAACAAACTCAATAGCACAAAAGGGCACTCACAAACACAAGACACCAGGAGCAGCGTGGGGGTCAACAACGTATTACTAAAGTACTTTCACGTCAGGACGATGTCCCGAGGCGCTGGAGTCTACGGTCCTCACCTGAGCTGGTGGCTGGGATCAGGAGGGGTGGAGGGCGGGCAGAGATGTTGAAGGCTTGCCCACCAATGGTGGGGCGGGCGGGCGGGCGAGGCGACGTGAAGCAGGCCGGAGCCCGCTGAGCGGAGGGAGCGGGCAGGTTGATAGGGGGTTAGGAGATCACAGAGGTCCACCACAGAGGAGCGCGGGCGACTGCAGCTTTTCGTTCGCGAAACTCGTTCGGCGAGCAATGGCTGAGGAACACATCGCAGCAGGACAACTGATACACACGAACAGGGGCGCATTAACGCCACGCGCGCGCGCACGCACACACGCACAAAGAAACGCATACAGCACACTAATCACGACGACGTTGTGCACCACCATGCTTTGCAATCCTCGACCAACTACGCCCGGCACTTTGAGGCTTAAAACATTCTGACCGGACTCTGGATTATCGCTTTATTCAGATAGTCAAAACACACACACAAACCCCCGCCACCCCCCCCCCCCCCCACAAAAACTTCCCCGACTGGAATAGCAGGACGTAAAGTTGGGAGTTTGCAGTCCAAGGTAAGGCATCGCAGGGAAGGTTCACAAAGTTTATCGCAAAGACTTTATAAAACAGTTTTAAGGCTTTTCTGGCGATGTAGAGTCGTGTAACCACGCTCCCAAATTCCGTGCTAACTCTTCTTACAGCTGTGGGTTGTGGCACGGCAAGAACAAATCGGCTTTTAATAAAAACGCTTTAATGACAACAGTAACTGAACCAGCAATAATTCTCCTCCCCACATTTGAAGTATCCCTTGGCGATGTCCCCAGATAAAAGCACACGTCACAGCCTTCACTGTCAACACGTGCGATTTTGCAGTGCAGTGTGCAGTACCGTAAGTCCCGAGTAGAATATCATCTTTATATGGCTTCCCCACTGGGGAAAAGATGCTTAGTAACTGCCGTTCAGTCCTCAGTGATGGGAATGGGATGGGATTAAAAACAAGTGGTTACCCCGTAGACTGAATGGAAGTTGGGCGTCAGTGCGTGAAGAAGGAACTGTATGCACTCGGTCTGCATGTCAGCACAAGCGGATAATGATAATAATCCTTGCAGTTTGCTATAGCGCCTTGGGACGCCCTCCCGAAATGAAAGGCGGTATACAAACGCTATGTTGCATTGCATCACTTCTTCGCGGCGTCTCAAAGCGCTTCACAGAATATACTGGAAAGTGAGTGGGCTGTGTATTTTGTGGGCAAAATCCTTTCCTTACTGAGATCTGCAGATACGACGACGACAGCTTGGTTTTACATAGCGCCCCTCATCCAGGGTAGAGTCCGCCAGTGCTTGTAGAATAATAGATACAATAACTAAAGTGTTAGCTTTGGACAGTTGCATAAAACCCAGGTGACAATGTTATACAAAAAGATCAAGCAGGAGATTCTATAAAAGTTCTGACAATTGTTTTGGTGGTGGAAGGGATACTTGGGGACCATTTCATGAAGTCAGGCTGTGCTTGTCTCTTTCTCGGTCGCATGTCAGAGTTGTTTCCCCCCCCCCCCCCGCTGGATTTTGAAAACAAATATAAATATATATATATATACACAGTATTTATAAATATAGATTTTAAATAGTCTCAAAAATTGATAATTCAGTAACCTGGGAGTATGAGACCACCCTTTAGAAAAATAAAAACAAGAGGAACAATAAAAGGTAAAACCGCACCACTCACTCCCACCCCTGCGTCCCCCCACCCCACTCCCCCAACCACTCGTCCCCCCTCCCCCACCCCTTCCTTTCTTCCCACTGCTTGTTAATTGTCACTTGATCACAACAGCCATAATGACCTGTGGACTCCCTGTGCTGGTGGAGGGCAGTCATAGGGGCAAACTTCCATTGTAACCTACTTCTTTTCAATAGATCTGGATCGGCTGAAGAGAGAAAGACAGGGAAGATATCTCATTAGAGCCTGGTGGTCGATGAACGATCTATTCGCGTGCAGTTTGAATACTCCTTTTACTTTCCATTTGTTAGGTTTGTTCCACTAGCATCACACACCTTCTGGTCAGATGCTCTATACTATCGTGCTTTATAATAATAATCCTTGCATTTGATACAGACACCTTATCACGTCATTGAGTCGTCTCAAAGTACTTCACAGAATATACCGTAAAGTGAACCGCCTGTATATTTTGTGGGGAAACATGGCAGCCAAACAGTCGAATTGGATTGAGTGACCAAATTAATTTTATTTTAAGGGATTATTACCTCAGAAAAGCGATCCGCAGATCAACTAACAACCGGTTTACCACTGGGTAAACAGAGGTGTGTGTGTGAGGAGTAAGGATACTTACCTGAGGTTTCGCCCTGACCTGCCGGGGGAATCGAACCCGGGTCCTCTCCCTTGCGAGGCGAGTGTTTTATGCTAAACTGACCACTGACCAGAGTGGTCTAGGTAGAGGGTAAGGGTCCCTGGGAAGAGCTTGATGGTAGTGGTGTGTAAACACGTTTGTATTATGGGTCATGCGTAGCCCATGTGTAACTACAGGGATTAGGTACTCTCACTGCCTTTTCGAAACAGACAACAGCAGCAGCATGCATTTTACACAACGCTCCTCACGCAGGATAGTGTTCCTGAGGGTGTGCAGTGGAGGAGAGTGGCGCCGAGCTGGGAGGTGACCGCAGGCACGGTTCGAAGAGGAAGGTCTTCAGGCGCGACCTGAAGGTGTGGAAGGAATGGGGCAAGTCGGAGGGAGGGAGGGACAGAGGGAGAGTGTTTCAGTCAAGACATGTGATGTGGCAACAATGCTAACCTGTGTGATTTGGTTAATGACCTGGACACATCTCGCCTTTCCCTGCTCCGCGAGACCGATCGTTCCCATCGTCTGTTCTCTCTGGAGCGCGACCTGTGGCGGAGCACACGGCACGAGGTTAGAAACAGAGTCGCGGGCCGGACGTGGACTTGTGCGTATTCCTCTACCCAGAACAAGTACAACTTGAAACTACAACCAAGGGAATATAATCCACCTTTTTTTTTAGAAACAATCTTAAATTTCTCCCAAACAGCATCTGGTAGTGTTACATTGGACTAAAAGTGTTCTGCAGCTTCCATGTAAGTGCAGGTAAAGGGAAGCCCATGAGCAGATTGGCCCATGACTATCAGCGCAATGACCCAGTCAGCGGAAATCTGGGGAGTAGCCAGCTTGGCTGACGGGATGCCTTTTGAACCCTGAAAATGCCTTTCCTGTACTCCCTTCCCCGACCCCCCCCACCCCACCAGCCTCCCTTTAAAACCACGGGGTGTAACAGTGTGGGCCACTGGCCTCACCATAGTGCAGAGGAGATCGGGGGGGGGGGGGCTGGGGGGGGTGAAAAAGAAAGAAAAGTACTAAAGAAAGCCAGTCTGCATTCACGACAATACAGTGACCAGTTTACAGCGATTTATCCTCTGTTTGTATTGAGTAAGATTGACAAAATTGCAGCAATGTTCTCCTCCACCCCCACACCCCCCTCCACCGCCAGAACGCATGTACCAGATCACTGCAGACACAGGGCTACGAGATAACTGCTACTCCCCACCCCCCCCGCCCCCGATGAATCGAGAGGATTTCGGCTGGTTATTTCCACACCCCGTTAAGGCTGTTTTTGTCGTTACGGTAGCCGGCAGAACAGTAGCAGTGGGGGGGGGGGGAGAGGCTGGGGTACGCAGATCAGACCCAGACGTGTTGAGTGGTCGTACATGCGTGAAGGAGCCATTGCTCATGCTGCGCGCTGGCTTCCCCCTGACATAGACACAGCCAGTTGAGAGGCTAATGCAGACTCGGAGAAGTGGAATCTCTGAAAGTTTGGGGGGGGGGGGGGTAGGGGATGTCATACAACTTAACTTCTATTCCTCAGCCGGGACTTGAGGGAGGTGCAATCTGTCTTCAGGCCCAACTCGGGGCGTTCCAGAGGGTCAGGGCATGCGGCTGAAAGCACTGTTGCTGTCAGCAGATAAGACCGTGTATAACTGTTTTAAACTAAGTTAAGATATTTTAGCGATGAGTCAAAACATGCAGTAGGGTCTGAGAAAATGCCCACAGCACACGTACCCTCTCTCAACAACTTGCGTTTATATAGCGCCCTCCACGCCGGACGGCGTCTCAGGGCGCCTCTCTGTGTATATACAATCCTTGCATTTGATACAGCGCCTTAGATGTATATTTTGTGGGTGAAACGCGGCAGCCAATTGCGCACAGCAGCGTCCCCTCACTCGGTACTGGATTGAAGCGAGCAATTTATTATTTATTTATTTATTTGGAAGGGATTATTACACCCGGTAAAGCGATCCTCCAATCGACTAACAACTGCTGGTAAACAGAGACGCGCGCGCGCGTGTGTGGGGAGTAAGGAAACTTGCCCAAGGTTTCACTCTGACCGGGAATCGAACCCGAGTCCTCTGGCTTGCGAGGCGAGGGCTCTAACCCCTGAGCTACAGGGACTGCACAACTCGTGACAGAGAGAAGGAAAGGGGCGCCGCGCTTCCCTCACCTGGAGTAACGCCTGCGTGGCGGTGAGCGCCTGCGATAATCCTCGTGCCGAGGCCGTCTGATCCAGGGCGGGGGACCCCCACGGAAACGCTTCCTCCGCTCCCCCGAAGAGAGCTCCACTCGCACGCGGACCCCACACAGCGTCCTGCCACAACAAGCCGGGCGTTAACTCACCATGACCGAACGCCGCCGATCTTTAATAAAAAGAGCCTCGAAAAAAGCCTCGGCGCGCTTGAGAAAACTACCTGCCGTCCATCTCCCGGACCGCGTCCGCGGCGTCCCGCGAGTCCTCGAACTCTATGAAGGCGAAGCCGGGCGGGTTTCGCGCCACCCACACATTGCGCAGCGGTCCGTAGTAGCTGAAGGAGCGCTCCAGCTCCGTCTTGTTCCCGTTGGTTCCCAGGTCGCCCACGTAGACCTTGCAGTCCAGGGGGCACGAGTCGCGACGCATCATCAGGAGGGCTGGAAATTCACACCAATACATAAAAACCCAAACCCGACAAAGGCTGCCATTAATAACAACAATAGTCATCACCAAAACAACCATCGTAACAACTCTGGCACTTGTTCTCTCTTTGTTTCTCGCTTTCTCTTCCTTTTCCCCCCCTTCCTCCTCTCTTTCTCTTCTTCCTCCTCTCTTTCTCTTCTTCCTCCTCTTCCTATTTTGCGCCTTCTCCTCCTCCTCTCTCCTCCTCTCCTATTTGCGCCCTTCTCCTCCTCTCCTCCTCCTCTCTCCTATTTTGCGCCTTCTCCTTCTCCTCCTCTCCTCCTCTCCTCTCCTATTTTGCGCCCTTCTCCTCCTCCTCCTCCTCCTCTTCCTATTTTGCGCCCTTCTCCTCCCTCTCCTCCTCCTCCTCCTCCTATTTTGCGCCCTTCTCCTCCTCCTCCTCCTCCTCTTCCTATTTTGCGCCTTCTCCTCCTCCTCTCCTCATTTCCCCCTTCCTCCTCTCTTTCTCTTCTTCCTCCTCTTTTCTCCCTTCCTCCTCTCCTCTTTCCCCTTCTCGACTTCTTGTCTCTCGTCTCTTCCTCTTGTGCCCCTTCCTGCTCTTTTTCCTCTCCTCATTTCTACCTTCCTCCTCTCCTCGTTCTCTTCTTCCCTCCCCTTTTCCCCTCTTCTTCTCTTCATCCAATCTTTACCCCTTCCTCTTCCTCCACTCTTCCCCCCTTCCTCTTCCTCTTCCTCCACCCTTTACCTTCATCCTCCTGGTTTCCCCTCTTCCTCTTTCTTGTCTCTTTCTCCCTCTTCCTCCTCCACTTTCCCTTCCTCTCTCTCTCTTTCTCTTCTTCTCCCTTCCCCTTTTCTGTTCCTCTCCTATTTTCTCTCCCTCCTCTTTCCCTCTCCCCCTCTCTTCTCCTCCTCTCTTTTCTCTTCTCTTCCTCCTTCTCCCCCTCCCCTTCTTCCTCCTTCCCTCCCTCCCCTCCACTCTTCCCTATGTTCCGCCTTCTCTGGGAAGACGTTGGCTGAGGCGCCTCACGAGAGCCCCCGAGGCGGGGGGTGGGGGTGGGGAAGGGCGTCGAATAAAAGCTGTCGTGAGGGGCGAACCTTGGTGGTGGTGGGGGGGGGGGGGTGTTGAGAGTGGCCCCGGGGGTGGGGTGGGGTGGGATGGGGGGGGGGAGTTAATCACCTGTCGTCGTCGTCGTCGTCGCTTTGACTGTCTCAAAATGGCGCCGTGAAGCCCGGAGGCGCCTGAGGTGGAGGATTGACGACAAACCCCGCCCCCGGAATCACCAGGGCAGCCAACCACGGCCTCGCTTTCCGGCACGCGCTTCAAACCAACCAATCACAGCCGGGTGCAGACGTGATCGACGGCGGCTTCGACCAATCGGATTGACGCCTTGATTGACGCCCTTCAGGGTGCGGGGGGGGCGAATGGGAGCGAGCACGTGGACTGACAACCCCGCCCCCCACTCGAACCGCCAGGTAGCCAATCACAGCCTCGCTTTCCGGCACGCCCTGCAAACCAACCAATCGCAGTCGAGTAGGGATCGTGATTGACGGCGATTTCGACCAATCGGATTCCTTCCCACTCCCCACCCCTGCCCGCGCGCAGTCGCCTGGCCTTGATTGACAGGGAAGGGGTGGGGGCCGGGCGGGGCGGGGCGGAGGGAGGAGCACGTGGGCGGGCGGGAGGGTCGCTGATTGCCTGAGAACCAGCCGACTGCCAACGAGGTGCCGGGGGGGTGAAGGAGGGCAAGAGGGGCTCGAGGAGGAAGTGCTGACGGAGCTGACAGCGCCACTCCACGTCTGTCTCCAGTACCGCCACTGCTCACAGAGACAGATTGTAAGTGAAATAATGCAATAATAATAAATCATAATTAATAATTAACAATAAATAAACAATAATAACTAATAACACACAATAATAAATAAAAATAATAATAAATAATAACTAATAACACAATAATAAATAATATAACACACAGTAATAAATAATAATGAACAATAACTAATAATACACAATAATAATATAATACAATAATAAATAATATAACACACAATAATAAATAATAATAAACAATAATAACTAATAATACACAATGATAAATAATAATAAATGATACACAATAATAACTAATATAACACACAATAAATAATAATAAATAATAACTAATAACACACAATAATAAACAATAATACACAATAATAAACAATAACTAATAATACACAATGATAAATAACAACGACAAATAATATTTAATAAATAAAGTAACAACAACGATAATAAACAATAAAAAATAAATGGATAAAAATAAATAATAATGACAATAAGCAATAATAAATAATAATGATAATAATAAATAAACAAACAAACAAAAATAACACTGGCATTTGACACAGCGCCTTATCTCGTCTTCGAGACGTCTCAAAGCGCTTCACAGGATACGCTGTAAAGTCTAGTGACTGTGTGTTTTGTGGGTGGGTTCGATGCCCAAGTGGGGAGTTTCCTTACTCCACACACACACACACACACACACACGCCTCTGTTTACCAGTGTGTGCGCGTACGTGTGTGTGAGTGTGTGTCGATCGGCCGACCGCTTTTCCGGAGGGTAACAATCCCCCCCCCCCCCGAAAAAAAAAATAATTGGTCACTTCAATGTGGGACGCGGCTGCGCAATTGTGCAATTGGCTGCTGCATTTCGCCCACAGTCACTACAGTTACAGTATATTCTGTGAAGCATTTCAAGACGTCTCGAAGACGTGATGAGGCGCCAAATCAAATGCATTATCATTAGAAGTAGTTGTATTGGTTGTATTGGTAGTTGTATTATTAGTTGTTTATGATTAGTAATATTAGTAATAGTATCAGTAGTGGTATTATTAGTAGTAGTATTAATAGCAGTAGTATTAGTAGTATTATTATTATTAGTAGTAGTATTAGTAGTGGTATTATTATTACTGGTATTATTAGTAGTATTAGTAGTGGTATTATTATTAGTAGTATTAGTAGTAGTATTATTAGTAGTAGCAGTACAATTAGTAGTATTATTATGATTATTATTAGTAGTAATATTAGAAATAGTATTATTATTAGTGGTAGTATTATTATTATTAGCAGTGACATGTTTCCCTCAGTGTGGGCTGTCATTATGGGATGTCTCCACGCAGTGGCAGCAGATAACCTCAGCCCTCACCATCAGCGTCTCTGTGGCTAACACCGACAACAACAACTTAACAACAACAACAACAATACTAAACTTTGCGCTTGATATTAGCGCTTCGCAGAATATACTGTCAAGTGTAGTGACTGTGTATTTCGCGGGCGAAACGCGGCAGCCAATTGCGCACAGCAGCGTCCCCCACAAACAGCCGTGGGTTGAGCGACGGAATTATTATTATTTTTGGAGGGATTATTAACCCCCGGAAAAGCGATTCCGCCAATCGACTAACAACCGGTAAACCCACTGCTAAACAGAGGGGTGCGTGTGTGCGTGTGTGTGCGCGTGTGCGTGTGCGCGTGTGCGCGTGTGCGTGTGGAGTAAGGAAACTTGCCCAACTGGGAATAGGGAGTCCGACCGCTTCATAGAGGCGGAATTTGACTCCCAAACCATCTCTTCCTCTCCCCTCTCTCTTCGCTCTGCAGATATCCCCCACCGATCAACCCCACACCCCCCACCCGCCGCCCCCCCCCCCCACACACACATATAGACATACACACAGAGACACACACAGACACACACGCATGTAGACACCCACCTAGAGACACATACAGATATACACACAGACACACAGACACGCACACACAGAAACACACAGATACGCACATAAAGACAAACAGGGACACATACACATAGACAGACAGACACACGCACACACACACACACAGAGACGCACACACACACATACACACAGACGCACATACATCGCAGACAATAAATGAACATTGGAAAGGATTTAGCGCTGACCGTCAAGAGAAGGTGGTGTGTGTTAGTCTTTGTCCACAGGGGAACAGTGTTGTACTTTGCTTTGTGTCCACAGACAGACAGACAGACAGACAGACACACAGACACACAGACACACAGACAGACAGAACGGCTGCTTCAACATTTAATAATAATAATCCTTCCATTTGATCCGGCGCCCGATCGATCACGTCGTCGAGACGTCTCGAAGCGCTTCACAGGAGACGCGGTACAGTGAATTGCCCGACTGGGTGCTCTGTGGGGGCGAAACGGGGCTTTTACTCAGTAAAACATCCCTTTCTCGGGGAATATCAGCGTTTGAGAAGCTTTTGTGAGCTCAGCCGAGAGGTCACTGTTCACATTTACACCCACAGTCAGCGAGTGTGAGCAGCGAATCAACCTCCGGGGTATCACAGCCAAGAACCTATCCTCACCCAATGCACACACACACGCAGACACACGCACACGCGCACGCACACGCAAACACACACAGACGCACACACGCAAACACACACACACGCACACACACGCACACACAAACACACACAGACGCACACACACGCACACGCAAACACACACAGACGCACACACACGCAAACACACACAGACGCACACACACGCGCACACAAACACACACAGACACACACACACACGCAAACACACACAGACGCGCACACACAGACACACGCACACACACCGACGCACACACTCGCACACACACACACAGACACACACACAGACACACAAGCACATACACACACACACATACACACACAGACACACGTAAACACACACAGACGCACACACACAGACACACACACTCACATACACACAGACACACACACACACACGCAACACACAGACACACACACACAGACACACACACTCACATACACACAGACACACACACACACAGACACACAACACACAGACACACACACACAGATACACACGCACACACACACACGCACACACATGCATACGCAGACACATACACACGCACACAGACATAGACACACGCGCACTGTCCAGCTGTGTGTCTCTAGACAATGATCAGGAAAGAGAGAGAGGAAGAGTGAATGTGATAGGGAGAGGGGGTTTAGACAAAGAGAGAGAGAGGGAGGAAGGGATAGAGAGAGAGAGAGAGAGAGAGAGCAAGAGGGAGGGATGGAGGGATAGAGAGCGAGAGCGAGAGAGAGAGAGAGAGAGCAAGAGGGAGGGATGGAGGGAGAGAGAGCGAGAGAGAGCAAGAGGGAGGGAGGGAGGGATATAGAGAGAGAGCAAGAGCAAGGGAGGAGAGAGAGCGAGAGAGAGAGAGAGCAAGAGGGAGGGATGGAGGGAGAGAGAGCGAGAGAGAGAGAGAGAGAGAGCAAGAGGGAGGGATGGAGGGATAGAGAGCGAGAGAGAGAGAGAGCAAGAGGGAGGGATGGAGGGAGGGAGGGATAGAGAGCGAGAGAGAGAGAGAGAGAGCAAGAGGGAGGGATGGAGGGATAGAGAGCGAGAGAGAGAGAGAGAGAGAGAGAGAGCAAGAGGGAGGGATGGAGGGAGAGAGAGCGAGAGAGAGAGAGAGAGCAAGAGGGAGGGAGGGAGGGATAGAGAGCGAGAGAGAGAGAGAGAGAGAGCAAGAGGGAGGGATGGAGGGATAGAGAGAGAGAGAGAGAGCAAGAGGGAGGGATGGAGGGATAGAGAGAGAGAGAGAGAGCAAGAGGGAGGGAGGGAGGGATGGAGAGAGCGAGCGAGCGAGAGGGAGGAAGATGGATAGAGTTGTCCTGTGACTCAGGGCTGTGCCTCGCGTTCCCGCTGACAATTAGCACTTTATCGAGAATTAATCTGAGGGAATTGTCGGTCATTACATTAATTCATTCTCCAGCGCAGAGACGAGGGTTTGGGAGGGAGGGAGGGAGGGAGGGAGCACTCGCTGGGTGTGTGTGTGTGTGTGTGTGTGTGTGCGTGTGCCGTGCGTGTTAATGCGGCTGCCTCCAGCCCCTCGCTGAACGACACTCAGTCCGTGTCCGTGTGCGTGCGCGCGCGTGTGGCAATCAAACCACGGTACCTGCCGTCAGCCACTGGCGCGGCACAGCTGCAATGTGCAGCGAGTTCTGCGTTACCCGCTCTTTGAGCTGGTCATGGATGGTGTGGGTGTAACACGGGCTGAGAGAAATGCTCTCGCTCTCCCTCTCTCTCTCTCTCTCTCCCTCTCTCTCTCTCCCTCTCTCCCTCTCTCCCTCTCCCCCTCTCTCTCTCTCGCTCTTTTCATCTGCCTTTAGCATTGTTCGACCGAACAGAGAGATGGCCGTGTCTGTGTCTGTGTGCGCGTGCGCGTCTGTCTGTCTGTGTGTGTGTGTGTGTCTGCGTATCTGTGGCGCACGTCTGTGTGTGTGTGTCTTTGGGTGCGCGTGTGTGTGTGTGTGTCTGTCTTTGCGTGTGCGTGTCTGTGTCTTTGTCTGCGTGCACGTGTATCTGTAGTGTGTGTCTGTGTGTGTGTGTCTTTGTGTGTGTGTGTGCGCACATATCTGTAGTGGGCGCGCGTCTGCGTGTGTATCTGTGGTGCGTGTGTGTCTGTCTGCGCGTGGTGTATGTGTTTTTGTGTGTGTCTGCGTACGTATGAGCACGTAACTGCGGCGTGCGTGTGTGCGCGCGCGCGCGTGTGCGGTCTGTAATGTGTGTCGGTTTGAGTTACGCGTCGTGTGTTATAATAATAATAATCCGTGCATTTGATTACAGCGCCTTAACACGTCTGCGAGACGTCTCAAAGCGCTTCACAGGATACACCGTAAAGTGAATTGACCGTATATTTCAGGGACTCCCCCTCTCTCTCTCTCTCTCTCTCTCTCCCCCACACAGACACAGGCAAAGCCATCAATCCCTCTGCTTTCCCCCCCTCCCCACCACCCCACTCGTTCTTTTTTCCTCTCAATCATCAGGAGGGCATCTCAAGGCTCATGAGTCAAACGGTGTGTGGGTGACGAGAGAGAGAGAGAGAGAGAGAGAGAAAGAAAGAAAGAGAGAGAGAGAGAGAGAGAGCAGACGAGCCACGAGGCTTTCTGTATGAATGACACATCGCCCAATTGGGGGCGAACGGCGATGGAACCGAACTAATCAAAGTGAAACCCTTCTCGGCCCCGGGTCCCCGACTGTGGGCCGAGGACGCGGCAGAGAAAAAGAGAGAGGAATTCAGCGCCGTTTTTGACGCCTCAAAGCGCTTCTCAGGGTACACCGTAAAGTGAATTGACCGTATATTTCAGGGACTCCCTCTCTCTCTCTCTCTCTCACACACACACACACACACAGACACAGGCAAAGCCATCAATCCCTCTGCTTCCCCCCCCCCCCCCCCCCCCCCCCCCCAACCCTCGTTCTTTTTTCCTCTCGATCATCAGGAGGGCATCTCAAGGCTCATGAGTCAAACGGTGTGTGGGTGACGAGAGACGAGTGTGTTTCGTGGGCGACGCGCGGCAGACATTTGCGCCCGGCGACGTCCCACAAACGGTGGTGGGTCGCAGCGACCAACTGGTTGTTCGGATTGTTTTTTTGAAGGGGTTATTGCCCCCCGACAGTCGACTGATACACCGGGAGTGTCTGTGTGTGTGTGTGTGTGTGTGTGAAGGAAGGAAACTTGCCCAACATTTCGCCCCGACCCGCCCGGGGATCGAACCCGGGTCCTCTCGCTTGCGCGGCGAGCGCTCTAACCGCTGAGCTACAGGGACTGTCGTGTTATATAGAAAGAGAGAACGAAACAAAGAGGGAGAGAGAGAGAGGGAGAATGACAAATAGAGAGTGAGAAGGAGAAATGAGGGAAAAGCAGAGAGAAAGAGAGAGAGGGAGAGAGAGAGAAAGAGGGACGGAGCGATTAACAGAGAGGGAGAGAGAAAGAGACGGAGAGAAATGGATAAGAGAGAGAGAGGGAGAGAGGGGGGGAGAGAGAGACCGAGAGAGAGCGAAACAGACGGAGAAGGCGCGAGAGGGAGAGAACCAGAGAGAGAGAGAGAGACGGGGAAAGAGAGAGAGAGAGATGTGTGTGTGTGTGTTTCTTTTTAAGCCACTCTGTGCCCCTACTCTCTGCAACTCCATCCCTTCCTGACGTCCCCACCTTTCAACCCTCATTCCCTGCGAAAAAAATGCCCACAAAGCACACAGTCGGTTCTCTCGAAGCGCTCCGGGACGTCTCGAAGGCGTCGTGAGGCCCTGTGTCGAATGCCGGGATTATTATTATTATTAGTGCGTAATTTTGGGGTCATCACATTGCTCTCCATCAATAAAACTGTATCGTTTGGGCCCCGTAACACCCCCCTCAACCCCCCCCACCCACCCCCCCCACACACACACACACACACACAAGCCCCTTCCCCGCACGAAAAATAGAGAGAGAGAGAGAGAGAGTGAGGGTTGTCTCACCGATTTGCCCTCCAAGATGTCCCTCCAGACGTGAGTGTCCTCGGACAGGTCGGAGAACTCCAGCAGATTGTCCAAGACCACCTGCCCGATCAGGTCGTGCCTCGAGAAGCGGTCGAAGTCGTAGACGCTGAAGTGGAGCTTCCGGCTCGGCAGTTCGTTAAACGTCACGTTGAACTGGAAGGTCTCGTTGAAGACGGGGTTGAGGGTCTTCCTGTGGACCTTGGTCTGGAACTTCCTCTTGCGGTCGGGCAGGAGGTAGATCTTCACGTAGGGGTCGGAGAAGCCGTTGGCGTCTTTGGCCGGAAGGTCCAAGGCCTTGAGGATCTTGACCACCAGTTGCTCGGAAGCGTACGTGTACCGTAGCAGGAAGTTGATGCGTCCGCAGCTGGTCTTCTGATGCTTCTTGGACTCGGAGTCGGCCGAGCGCTGTTTGTAAAGCTCCGGCTTGATCTGCCCGATGCTGGTCACCTGCTCGACCTTCTCCTCCGCCTGGTTCCCCGTGTCCGGGCTCGGCAACTGCTGGGGAACAGGTCTGGGCAGCGAGTTAAACCTGCGGGCGAACCACTGATAACTCACAGGCGCTTTGAGTCGCGCCCGTTTTCGCCGCCGAACCGGAGGAACTCATTTGGCATCTCACGTCTCTCTGCTCTCCCTCTCTCTCTCTCTCTCTCTCTCTCGCTCGCTCCCTCTCTCTCTCTCAATGGCCGAGCTATGTGTGGGTTTAGCCGGTTGGACTCCAGCAGTTACCCCCCAACCCGCACCCTGGGCTTCCCTTCCACCACCCCCCGCCACCCCCCCACCACAAGCCTCGTCTCTCTCGCCAACCTGCGCCTAATGCTCTCCAGAATTAAGTGACCAGGGAGGGAGCGAGAGAGAGAGAGAGAGAGAGGGAGAGCGCATTCCATTCCGACCACCTATCTCTGGGATTTCCAGGTGTCGGTGGGACGCGGGGAATTCTCAGTCGGGGTTGAACAGTCTTCAAGCGATGGCGACGCGTGTGCGCGCGGGCGTGTGCGTGTGCGTGTGCGAGCGCGCGACAGCCCGGCTGAGCGAAGCGAAAAAAAAAAAAAAAAGGGTTAGACCTCTGCGGGAGGGAAGCCGGGAAACCGGGCCGGCGCGAGGCGGAGAGCTCGACTGGAGGAACGAATGATCAGATGAATATTAATGGGGGCGAAGGAGTCCCGATGCAGGAAAGTGTGTTAATAAGCGCTGGTTATTCCGCGTTCAAGGAGAGGTGACGGAATTACATGAGGGGCAAATGCATTAATAAATCATCTTCTGACAAAGCATCTTCTGCGCAATTCGCTGCACAAAGGGATGTACAACGTACAAGTGTAGCACTAGACTCGCGGCCATTAGGCGCGAGATCAGAACACCTTGTCTTCGCAGCGAGACGTCGTGGAACCTGTGGAGCGGGCGAGCGAGCGAGCGAGCGAAGGAGGGAGGGAGGGAGGGAAGGGAGGGAAGGAGGGAGGGAGTCATTTTCCTCCTGTCGTGGAGGGACCGCGTGCGTTTTAAGACGGGGTGACACGGGGTGAGATGTAAACGAATGATCGGGAGAGAGAGAGAGAGAGAGAGATCTTTAAAGTCCACCTGAACAGAGCACAGACAGGGAGTGAGGTTTAGCAACACAACCCCCACCACCCGCAACCCCCCCCCTACACCCACACCCCCCCCCCAGCGCTGCACTGGAACCTCAGCCGAGACCGTGCGATTCCAAGTCCCCCCCTCGAACCCGGTTCCTCTCTCTAACCACTGGGCTGCAGGGACTCACCACGATGAGGGAGGGGGGGCGAGAGAGATGGGGAGGGAGGGGGGGGGAGAGAGAAAGAGGGAGGAAGGGAGGCAGAGAGAGGAGGGGAGGGAGGGCAAGGGTGGAGGGAAGCAAAGAGGGAGGGAGAGAGAGTGGTGGGAAGGGAGGGAGAGGGATAGGGGGAGTGAGAGAGGGAGGGAGGGAGTGAAAGAGCGAGGGAGGGAGTGAAAGAAGGAGGGATGGATGGGAGGGAGGGAGAGAGGGATGAGATCTGGAGCGGACAGAGTGAGAGTGAGAGCCCTGTACCTACTCACCTGGTGGCTGGGGCCAGGGCGGAGACCTGCTGGTGGGAGTGAGCGTTGGGGATGCAGTTCTTACTCCCGGAGTTGTTGTCCACGGGGAGGTCGGGCGAGGTCTGGCTCAGTTTGATGCTGGAGTCGGGGTACGACTCCAGGTCCAGGTAGGAACGCTCCGGCATCTCGGGGCCGCACTCCACCCTCTCCACCGTCAGGTCGGTGAAGTGGTGGGAGTGGTGGTGGACGTGCTGATGGTGGGAGTCCTTGCGTTGGGGGTTAAGCCCCTTGTCCCGCCATGGGATCCAGCACAGCTTCCAGGACACGAAGAGGGATACGCTGAGCAGCACGATCCCGCAGAACGTCACGATAACCGACAGCAGGCTGACCGAGATATCTGGCGAGCAGAGCGAGGGAGAGAGAGAGAGAGAGAGAGAGAGAGAGAGAGACGATAGAGTAACCCGTTGCTACCTCAGGGTTGTAAGGGAAGCAGGAGGAGGCCATTCAGCCCCTCGAGCCTGTTAACCCCGGAAAAGCCATCCCCCAATCGACTAACAACCGGTTCCTACTCACTGCGGGGTAATCAGAGGCGTGTGCGCGTGCGTGCGTGTGCGTGTGCGTGGCGGGGGGTGAGGGCGGGTGGGGGAATCGAACCCCTTGCGAGGGGAGGGCTCTAACCGCTGAGCTGCAGCGACTCCATTTTATATTTCGCAGCGAAACGGTACAGCCAAAGGCTGCGGAGGTTTGCGGAGGGGCCAGAAAGCCGACACCCTGACGGCAACGTTACATCGGCGACGCGTGTTGTGTCTTCCTCTCGTTAATGTACTTTTAGAACACCGCCGCGCACTCAATTTAGGGACGTGTGGCGATCAGCAGCAGCGAAACGACGGATACGCTTAGGACACGTTCTCCGCAAGAAATTTGGGCTCCACTAACGATTGCGTTTTAATGAAACGTCGTGTTAACCACCAGGTAGTTGGAGAGCGATCTCTCTCTCTCTCTCTCTCTCTCTCTCTCTCTCCCCACACAGACACAGGCAAAGCCATCAATCCCTCTGCTTTCCCCCCTCCCCACCACCCCACTCGTTCTTTTTTCCTCTCAATCATCAGGAGGGCATCTCAAGGCTCATGAGTCAAACGGTGTGTGGGTGACGAGAGAGAGAGAGAGAGAGAGAGAGAAGAAAGGAAGGAGAGAGAGAGAGAGAGAGAGAGAGAGCAGACGAGCCACGAGGCTTTCTGTATGAATGACACATCGCCCAATTGGGGCGAACGGCGATGGAACCGAACTAATCAAAGTGAAACCCTTCTCGGCCCGGGTCCCCGACTGTGGGCCGAGGACGCGGCAGAGAAAAAGAGAGAGGAATTCAGCGCCGTTTTTTGACGCCTCAAAGCGCTTCTCAGGGTACACCGTAAAGTGAATTGACCGTATATTTCAGGGACTCCCTCTCTCTTCTCTCTCTCACACACACACACACACACAAGACACAGGCAAAGCCATCAATCCCTCTGCTTCCCCCCCCCCCCACCCCCCCCCCCCAACCCTCGTTCTTTTTTCCTCTCGATCATCAGGAGGGCATCTCAAGGCTCATGAGTCAAACGGTGTGTGGGTGACGAGAGACGAGTGTGTTTCGTGGGCGACGCGCGGCAGACATTTGCGCCCGGCGACGTCCCCACAAACGGTGGTGGGTCGCAGCGACCAACTGGTTGTTCGGATTGTTTTTTTGAAGGGGTTATTGCCCCCCGACAGTCGACTGATACACCGGGAGTGTCTGTGTGTGTGTGTGTGTGTGTGTGAAGGAAGGAAACTTGCCCAACTTTCGCCCCGACCCGCCCGGGGATCGAACCCGGGTCCTCTCGCTTGCGCGGCGAGCGCTCTAACCCTGAGCACAGGGACTGTCGTGTTATATAGAAAGAGAGAACGAAACAAAGAGGGAGAGAGAGAGAGGGAGAATGACAAATAGAGAGTGAGAAGGAGAAATGAGGGAAAAGCAGAGAGAAAGAAGAGAGAGGAGAGAGAGAGAAAGAGGGACGGAGCGATTAACAGAGAGGGAGAGAGAAAGAGACGGAGAGAAATGGATAAGAGAGAGAGAGGGAGAGAGAGGGGGGGAGAGAGAGGGGGGGAGAGAGAGACCGAGAGAGAGCGAAACAGACAGAGAAGGCGCGAGAGGGAGAGAAACAGAGAGAGAGAGAGAGACGGGGAAAGAGAGAGAGAGAGA